GGCCCACGCGTTGGGGAATAACCCGCAGGTGTGTGTGTGTGTGTGTGTGTGTGTGTGTGTGCGTGCACATTTGTCTGCTCATGTCAGCTTCTCACAAACGACTTCCTTGTGCATCTGTCAAGATTTATGAGTTTTTCCTATAACAATGTCGGCTCCCTTCTTTTGAAATCTCAGTGGGGCAGATTATCGGGGATCAGTGGAAGGAGCAGGTTCCTCAACCAAAAACAGGTGACTGTGACTTTTGCTGAGCGGTTGAGTGTAAAAAATTATTATCCGAATCCCAAGACTCCGGCATTTTAACCTCGCAGCAGTTCACACGAAACCCATCTGCTTTTCAAATTGTCATACTACCACTGCCAACTCAGTGGTCCTCTGGTCTGACCCCCCGGGGTCAGGGCGACAGAAAAGAGCAATAAAAATCAAACTGGCCTGATGATAGCGTCTGCTGCTGATCACTGGGAATCTCTGAAGGTTTTCATTACGGAATATTATGAGGGCGGTAAAACAGAGAGAGGGATGTTAAAGACCCAGCAGAGCTCTTTCAGCGTGAGTAATGATCAGAGGGGAGCGGGGCCAAAGACAGATTTACTGTTCCCACCGGCTTTAGGTTGCAAGCTGATAGGGCAGAATACCCACTAAGTTACATGCTGCGCTGTGTGTCATGAAACCTTTTGTGTATTGGTGGCGTAAGATTACCTATTTCAATCGCTGACCTAATTTATGTCCCTTATGTCAGATTTTTTTTTTTTTTTTTTGGTTATAACGTCGTCGCACATGAAGACCCCAGTTTTACCGCTCAATGTATTTTATGTCTATGAATACTACATTAACACAGTTCATAAATAACTATCCCTGCAGTCCTCTTAGAAATATCTCAACCTGTACTGGTCCAGATAAAGTTTACTTTCAAATTGCATTTTTCTTCTCTTAAATACTAACAGAGTTTATGATGCAAAACTGAACCCAAGAAAAAGGAAAACAATCTTTCAGTAGTGAAATAAAATCAAGGATGATAAATCTGAAAACACAAATGTGTTTTGTTCAAAATCACAGGATCGCATGAGGGTTTGGGATTGTTTAGAAACAGGAATAAACAGTGTGCAGTTTGGTAATGGCTTACAGTTCATTAAAAAAAAAAAAGAAACATTTTGTACAAGGTCTGAGGAGAAGGACAAAGTTCCGGCCAGGATTTTATTTTAGACCTGTCACAAAAATGAGAAATCTCTTCACCAACTCTAGGTCATAATCCCTTTCAATCCAGCACGCTATGCTCACTAAGCATTGTGGGAATTTGACAGAGAGACAATACAAAGGCAAGGAGGAAGAGGAGGAGGAGAGTGACATGTCCAAAGCTGGAGGAGGAAGGGGATTTGTTCCTGAGTTGCAATTGCCTAGAAGACAAGTTAAAAACAAGTTAATGGCATGTTAGCAGGCTGCCCTACCAACCAGCGTTAACCACGCCCACTTCAGAATCTGACCAATCACACCACTAGTTGTCAAACAGCACACAAAAAAACATTTAGTTGAAATGTTTAAAAAAAAAGTCTTAATAGTTAGTATTCAACAACAGTCGAAAAGTACTGTTAAATCCAACACATCATCAACTTTTACCTCACTCTGATAGCGTAAAGGGAGTGCACAGAGGAGTGGGGGTCTGCATGTGATTTCCTGTTAACTCAGTGTGACCAGATTCCTTCAAAGACCCCCGTCTTCCTGAGGACGACGGCGATGATTGGCAGGAGATCTGCTTCACAGGCCCAGCAGCATTTTCTTTACAACGTGCCCTGGAGTTGAAGGCGACACAAAGTGAGCTATTGTCTTCATTAGCGGAGTCATCACAGGATGTTATTCAGGAGGAAAGGAATATCCTGCGGGCAGCTGTTAGTGACCCATCAGGGGCACTGATCGAGGAGATAGAAGGACAGGGAGGATCTGTGCCACGTCCTCCACAAATGAACAAGTGCTAATTGTGGAGCTACGGTTTTATCAGCAGGTCATATTGTTTTAACATTCCTCAGGTCGCGATACGATCTGTTCCGCTAATCCAGGTTAGACCTTCGTTGTGCGTTGCTTCTCAAAACTGAGTCTTTTTAAATTACCTTTACTTTTTGTTTTTATGGAACAACAGTGAAGGAAAACTACACAAGCGGGAGTCAAAACTACCCTCAATTTATTAAATGAAAAAAAGAGTTCATACTGTATGTACAAACAACAGCAAACATGGTTGGTAACGGTACCATACCATCATAGAAAAAAACAAAACAAAACAAAACAAAAAATTGCACTGCGCTTAAACGTCATTTTTACCACCATAATACCATATTATTGATAATAAAAAACAATAAGGGATGGTCGTTAAAAATACAGGGAAACAATAACAATATGTTTCTCAAAAGTTTCCAAGAGGACTCCATGTGGCACATAAACATTCATTACACACCAGAATAATAACCATTGCGTTAGGGATGTCGTCAAAATGTGCATAATGGGAGAAAAATTTCAAATTCTCGTGTCCTGATGTCACCCTCAGACCATGGTGACGTACCGTTTACGAAAACACATGCATTTACACAACATTGGTTTCAGACTCTTCCTCATGCTCATACACACATTCATCAGAGACCGAGTCAAACAATTCCAGCAGAGATAAGTGTGAAACTGAGGGATTAAAAACCCACAGATGAAGAGAAGTAGGAGAGACAGCAGAAGTGATGCACAGTCTTGTTGGTAACCTCCTATTTATACCACAGACTCACAGGAATAGTTGTGATTACTCCATTGACTGGATCGTCTACAAGGTCAGGCCTCCCTTCTTTACTCCCTCCCACTCCTCTGCTCCTCTGCCACTCGGCAGCCAAGTGGTTCAGATGGCTGCCAAGACATATTCATAGACATATTGGAGCATCCAGTTACTGGCAGTGTTTCGCAGACACTTAAACACATGTCCACCTACAAACACACACACACATACAAATACACACTCACAAATATGCACAAACACAAAGAAAACTGGGAGCCAAGCAAACATGCTAGTGTTTCACGTACCCTCGGAGATATAAGAAGATATTTCACAAAAAAATAAATGTGCTTTTCGTCAAGATCAAAGCCCTTCTACCACACAGTTTCTTTACAATTATAAACATCATAGTCAGCCTGAAGCATGGACTTTGATATATTGATTTAATAAATTTAATAATAATAAAAAAAAAATAACTTGGTACATTTTGGTCCAGAAGCAGCAGGTACCGATAACAGACAACATAAATTAGGCAGGAAGCAGGATAATTCCAATAAAGCAAGAACGGTCAATATTTTACAGTGTGATGATGTGGTCACTTCAGAAACCCGTTCTCCAACTTCCTGTTTCCCAGAATCATCGTACTTTGAACTGCTGTCTTTAGAAAACCCTTTGGTATAAATACACATCATTCCATTGCCTTTTAAAAAAAATAATAATAAAAAAATACTTTAGAATGAAATGGGGAAAAAATTGTTTTCTTTCGTCAAAACATGGCATCAAGCAGCCATTTTCTGACAGCACTTCACATGGTTACAGCAATTTTATTCAATCTTGTCAAACCCTTTATCCCGTCAACAGGCTCTTTCCTAAATCTTCATGGTGTGAAGTAGGTAGGGACTATTTTCTTTATTCTTTTCTTTCTGTTTTTTTTTAAATCAAATTCAAGGAATGTTAGCCAAATACAACAACATTAATAGCAGCTCGGCTGTAAAACAGGAAGAAGTGTGTACAAAATTTATATCTGGATTCAAAAACTATTCTCCAAGTACCTTTGCTTTTAATTTAACTTTTTTTGTCTTGACAAATGCAAACACTGATGAATGAAACTTAAATTCTCGTTCTAACCCTTACAGAGACACGAGAGGATGCACTCACGCACGCACTCCTCTTCCGTACAACGGCAGCAGTCGCTATTGATTTAACGTTTAAAAAGCTCCCCAGTGGTTTAGCATCAATGCACATAATCACAGATAGAAAACAAAATCAGCTCCATTGTATCAGGCCGATGGATACACGGCCCCTCGCTGAGCCCACGCCCCCACTGCTGAACAGATCTGGTTTACCCATGTACCCAAATATTCAGCTACGGGCACTTCACACACATCTCAGGTCCAACAGGCCTCAGTGACACACCTTTGAGATACCGTTTAAGTTTCTTATATAGAAATGGAAATGTCAACAAAAATAAAGGGTTAATTCAGGTTTTTTTTAATATGAACAGCTAACTAACAATCATTTCTAGCGCTGGATACCTTGGATGAATGAAAAAGGTCATGTGGTGAAGGCGATGATGTCAAGAAACACAGGCAAAAAAGAAATCACAGACAAAGCCGTGGCGAGAGACAAGCGCAGACGTCCTGGTTCCCATACAGAGCATTAGACGCAGATGCAGAAATGAATTAGAAACCATAAGGGAACTGAACTGAGGGGGGTTGAGTGGACATGGCCGAAGCCCAAGCTCCGAGTCCCGCATTCACACAAGCTGTCTGTCTTCCACACACTGTGTCACTGCATGCCAAATCCTGCCAGCACACACACATACACACACACACGCATACACACTCATTCCCATGCAGTGCCTTTCGTTTAGTATCAGAACAAGACAAATATGCAGGATTTCAGATCCTTACAAGGATCTAAGTTATACAAAAGCTTTTCTGAACATCTCAAAAATCCAAAACGGATGAAGTGATAAGAAGACATAGGAAACATCCTTTAGCCAAACCGAACAAAAGCTCGAAATACCTTAAAATATAATGATCGCTGTTTCTTTCTGTAAAGTCATATCATAAAAAATTGTCTCTGCTCAAGCTAACCATGCTGGTTAATTCTAAACACATCCTGAGTTAGTTACACAGTTCCTAGTAAGGGAAGGTCTCTGAATGGCTTGACTCGTATCATAACAGAAGAAGTCCATGTTTCGTCCTCAGACTCAGAGGCTTTCTTATTGCTGAAGACGAGGCAATAACTCATTAGACCACACTTGATAATATGAGCTGTCATTTTAGTGTAAGATAAGGCAGTCTGATGAGGGCAAAAACCACCAGCCTGAGGATAGGAATGTTAAAGCTGAGGACCACGAGTCCAAAATGTACCGTAGCAGGTACCGAAAATATACCAAACACTAAGGCACTTGTGCACATCAACAAATGTCTCAACTATATTGTTTTCTGCCATAAAAAATCTTTTCTTTAAATATTAACATTTTATATCAACAAGCCCATGGATGTTAAAGCATATACAAAAGAAAGAAAAAAAAAAAGATTGCCCTCTTAGTATCTTGCTTGGAAGGATCCAACACCCCAGTACCACAAACGACCACTCTTGTCACCTCAGGAGTAAAAAAGCCTCCCCTTCTCAGATCCCTGATGTCTGCTGAGTTTGGCGAGCTGAGAAGGTGACGGGGGCACGTCCTGTCTGTAGGGGCCCTTGGATTGAGGTGGGGGCAGAACTGGGGCAGCAGCAGGACCCTGGTTTTGGTCGTAGGAGCTTCCACTGGAGGGCTCCTCAGGCGGTCTGGCCTTGTTGGCCTCCTGCTCTCTGCGTCTCTGCTCTTGCCTCAGCAACTCCTGAGTTTCCAGGAGGACACGGGCGTTAAAGCTGGATGTTGCCAGGTAGCCGTTACGTGATCCCTGCGCTACGGAGTAGCGGGAATTCTCCTTGGATTTTTGGAATTTCTCTGTTGGTGCATGCACATTGTCCCAGGAGTCCTGGGAGGCTGTGTTGGCATTCTTGCGTGGTGGCCTGGACACAAAGATGTAAAGAGGTCATTCTCTGAGTAGAGGTAGTCAACCTAAACTGCATCTGAATCTGAAAGAAAATGGTAGCAGACTCTGCTCAGAAAGATTGCTTTTTTCCTGCACTGGCCTCTGGGTCAGCGCTACTGAGGGAGAATTCAAAAGAAAGGGAAGATAACTGCCTCAGCACAGAACAGGACCATTTTCACATTTTGTAAGATTAAAGCAGGACACAGAAGTGGCATGTGTTAAAACACTAAAAGCAAGGATGCAGCAGAGATGGATCTGTCATAGCCTGGGAGGTCCAGGCCTTAACAATACAGCAAAACACAAGGAAAACCTGAAACGCCCACAGGGCTATTAGTTCCACGTTGTAAACAAACACAAATGTTAAAACAACCCTGAGAAAACGGCAGCTCTTATCCATTTAACTCCTTTTTGGAGATGCAGACGGGTGCACTTAACACACAGACAGAGTGATGGCGGGCCTTATGGCATTGTTTGTGTTCCACTCTCCATCAGTCTGACCGCTTGTCCCTGCACTTGGGCTTATCAACAATTATCAAAGAAAACACAGAGGGATGGGTCAACTGATACACACAGTGAAAACATCAATGGACGACATTCACTTTCCCAAACAGGCAGATTAGGGATAAGGTTAACTGGACACTTGGAAATAGAACAAATACGAAGGGCAAAATGTTCCCAAAAACAAATGACAGAAAAAACAAACAAACAAACAAACAAACACAATCAAATGTATGGGGTACAACCAGCAAATGTAAACATTGGTGTCATCTGCATAAAGCATTTGTTCACCAAATAACTCCAGTGCGAAATTTAAGGCCGTACGTTTGAATGATGGAACAAAAATTTCTCAAGACGTAACCGGGGAAAATATATATATTAATACAGGGAGTACTCAGACCCCCGAGTACTCCCCTGCATTCTTATATATATATTTTTTTCTTATATATATATGTTCATTCAACACTAAATATTTGATCTATTCTTATATATATTTTCTACTGTTAATGTTCATTCAACACTAAATATTTGATCTGATGTAAAATCTTGAAATAACATTATACCTCTTAGGATGTAGAGTAACAATATCATCAAAATGAAATGAAAACAAATATAAAACAAAGTACACAGACCTGCAGAACAAAACATACTTCAACAGGATTGGACAGGTTTAATAAAGATTTAGACAAGGGAGAATTACCAGTGAAGTCGTCTCTGTGACAACAATTTAGCTAGAGTTCTGCTCCAAAACAGCCAACAGCAAAAAAACAAAGAACATTTAATCTGAAAGCAAACAAATATCGCACACTCTCATAAAAACATTTTCATAACCAAACATTCACGCTATTTATTTATAATGTCTGGGTTCTTAGACGAGTAATAAGAGACTTCTGTCGATGTCAAGTGCTGGACTTGACAACTTTAAAGATATATTTCTGCTTAAAACTCATGTCCAGGATCAGTCGACTTTCAAGATTCCAACAACTACGACCCAATGACACAGACTTACCCTGACGCACAACTTCACGCAAGACTTCTGTGCAGCTGAGCTAATCAAACTAAGATGCGCACCACCTGCACGTAATTCAAGACAGGGAAACATTCTGACATGCGTGTTTAGAAGACACATTTCGCCTCCAACTACAGGCTAATGAAAAACTCATGGACGGCGCTGTAAAACGGCCGCTGCTGCTGGATTAGGAAGCTCACAGGAGGTGCTCCGAGTTGTGCCAATGCATTAGCAGTTGTGATTTACTGAAAACAAACACATTGCTTCATCCTTGGCATAATGAAGATGTTGGCTGTGTTTGTGTGCTCACCGTGTCGTAGGAAAACCTGGACACAAACCGAGAGAGGAAAGCTAACTTTTACAAATGCTGCCTTTAGCCCCGTGGCAACTGGGATCGATCCAGGCTCCCACTGTGGCATGAGGGGAACATGAGTAAAGTTTGTTATCAAAGTTTTTGATGATATAGTATGAGAATAATAATAAAAAACAACTTCAAATACAACACAAATCCCAGATTCTAATGAAGTCTTGACTGAGTTGGTGATTTTCTTTCCAAGGTACAGATCACTGTAAATTATGAGCACTTCCTGTCTGGACCAGATGTGTGATAATCCAAACTATTTTTTTTTTTTTACCGGAATTAACAGACTTAAATATACACATCTTTCAAACAGAAAACTAACCACACACACATGCCTGAGTCACAGACGCTGTGCTTCACAGACGCAGGCCTGAGATAGCCATCACATTAGGCCGACAGCATGAGCTTTACTGTGATCTTTGCTCTTCCGCTTTAAGGAACAGTTCTGATCGACATCAGTTGGGAAAACCTGGGCTGCAGATGGAGGCCTGGACTTGGCCTACTTTAGGTAAAAAAGGTCTCTATTTCCTCTCTTATTGAGTCATTTTATTACAAACACGGAGAGAAAGTGAGTTTAAAAATAATCTGGTGTTTTATAATCATTTTAAAATGTGGCCTATAGTAGTATGCTTTATCATTCTGACAGAGACAGAAGCAAAATTATACGGTGAGCAAATTTCCTCATTTCCAAATAAATATATTAGATAATATTAAGAAATACAAGTTAAACAATATTGTTAAAAATGACAGGAAACGATGGTGAGATGGACGGGGGGTTGGATATATTTGTCCTTGTGGCAGACAGGGGAAATGTCCTGAGTGTAATATGGTAAAATAACCAAAAAATAAAATAGTGAATCAATGTTAAAAAAAAAAAAAAATTAAATAAATGGAGAAACTGAAGAGAACACGCCTTAGCAGACTCATTAGCATGAATAGGCTAACGTACATGTGTGTCACAGATACATATGTGTGTTTTTACAACTGTAGTTGGCAGATGAAGGACCAGACTGCAGAGAATCTTCACCACATGCTCCAAATTTGAGTTTCACTGTCTGGGCGATCGGCCACGCGTTTACACCCAGGTTTGGCTCTGGGCAGCCGACCTCGCTCATGAGAGAGGCGCTCATTTAGGAAGGCAGGACGCCTGTTGCATGGGGCAACGACGTCCACTAACAAATCAGTTGTGCTTCTTTTGTTTAGACGAAGCCCTGGGATGAAGAGAGATAAAGTAGGAGAATCTTTGGCGGGAAAAAGGGGGAAAAGAGAGATGGTGACATTCCAGAGGAATGTAATCGTGATTGATGCATCGGGGGAGCTAGTTGTCTTATCATCCTCGCTGCCGTGCCAGAATATGTCAAAAAGAAGATTAGTTACATTTAGAGAGGGAGGGGATGGGAAAATACATCATGCTACAGAGAGGGGTAAATTTAGAATGACAGATCATAACAAACAAAGCCAGGAAGTTGGCTCCGACAGGCATTCTGTGGGTGCTGTGTGTTTCTAAGAAACAGCTGGGAAAAATCGGAGTTTACGAGACAGTCGAAAAAGAGCGCAGACACGCACATGCTCCGATACCAGATGATTGGGAGTAAAACGAAACAGATGAAAGCGGTGGGCAAGAGTTGTTTTGAAATTACACAAATAAATTGTTGGCAAAACTAAAATAATGTTTATTTACGAGGTAAACCAACGTCGTTTGGCCCGAAGAGTCCGAGAGCTGCCAGAATCAGAAGTTTGTTTGAATTGGACTTAAGGGCATTAGCTTGACCACATTCACGTGAGTGTGTCTGTCTCAGGCTAATCAGCGGTCTCTCTTCGAAAACTAACACACTCATCTCACTCCCGACCCTTCCTGCTCTGCTCTGCCTGTCTCCGATAATCCCGCTCCAACAACAAGCCCTTATTAGTGCTGTTCCAGTCCTCACATATCAGACAGACGGCTAAGCCTTGCCGTCATCAGATAACCAGTCACCATGGCTTCTTCAGGAAGCCCTTTGGTGGGACGATTGCCTTTGTGTGTGTGTGTGTGTGTGTTTCAAATGGTGGCCCCCTTCTGGCTGAATGGCTCACTGGCGTGGGCTTCCTGTTCTGGAGAAAGCAGAAGGATAAAGAAAGTGGGGTGATCGGCTGTTGGAGGAATCGTGGTGATTAGTCAGAGGTTTACAAGACGGCAACTCTGGAACCAGGAGTCATTTTAGACATAGTTTCTCAAAAGCTTTAGCCAAGGTCAAAAGTCAACCCTGAGCCTCTGCTAAAAGAAGCTTTGAGATTACGAGAGGAATGCATATCAAAGGCCACTCTCGCCTGGCTTTTTTGGCCCGGCCGGACCACTTTCCCAAGAGAAACAACTGTGAAGGGGGCCGGGGGGGTGGGAGACCTGGGGCAACTGTCACATCACATGAGATGACAGCAGATAACACCTACGATAGGAATGTATGCGAAGCGCTCCGGTGTATACAGAGTAACATTGATTATGGGTCCACAAGGATCACGAATCCATATCGTCGGACAGGAACATGTTTGAATCGATTGGACAGAAACCGTGCAGCAGAAAATAAATGAGATAAAAAATGTAAAAGTGAAATCCCAGGGAAAAAAAACAAAGACGGCACACATACATATACATACACACACACATGTTTTTATGCGCATGTATTCGAGGCTCTTTGTATAAACTGGCAGGGGAGTTGTTTTCTTTCACAACATTCCAGATCACGCTGTGCATGTTGTGATATAATAAAAGGAAGGTTGATGATAAATACTAAAGTAATTCATTAAAAGAGGGTTTACTTCACTTTTAAAGATTAATCCCAGTGTTTGTCAGTCAACACTACGGGCCCAGAGTCGCCCCCACAGGCTTAGAAGTTTGGAAAATTCATTATCAAAGTCGCTTAGAGGGATCATTTTGACATCAAACATTATCCTACACACACACACACACACATCTGTACAGTCAGACTTGTTAAAAACATCATTTTGTTTTTGAATAAACATGACGTCAGGATTTTAATGAGTCACAGTGAGAGTGAGGCCAAATCTGGGCCACGCGTTCGTGGTTAGCGCTCATGCGTGGTGTTTTTACTAAATGTTTTTATGTCTAGTTCTATCATCACAATCTTGACTACTCTGGGTTTGTGACCCAGTGATGGGCTGGTGAACCGTCCATTAACGCCATCCTCACCCAATGGCTGCTGGGATTGGCTCAAGCTCCAACGTCAACCCTGAAAAGGAATCAATCAAGTTCAAACTGTTTTCATTAAATGTATTTAAAAGCCATTACGGTGGAAGTTTATTTTAAATTCCAATAGCTGTGCCACGTTCATTCAAATGTTAAACGATGGCAAGTGATGATTCACGCTGTAGCTGGAAAAAACAAAAAGAAAACATAAACTGTGAGAGAGAAAAAAAAGTGAATTGATGGAAATCGAAAAAGTCAACCGAGTAGGTTGATAAAGGGCAGAAAGAACGTGATAAGTCAGCCGCTGGGCAGGGAGAGAAACACGGGCCGACTGGCAGCTGTGTGGAATTAAGACGGCAGAAACGGAAAGATTTCTCACCGTGGCAGGGAGCTGTACTGTCTCTGCGCTTGTTGAAAACTGTCTCTGTCCTCCAGCCGCTGTTCCTGAGCCTGAGAATCAACCGTCACAGACAGACGTCCGCTCTGCGTCTCTGTCCCGTTGCTGATCTGTTCACCCAATCATAGACAGAAATAAGGAACAGGGTTAAAATGTGACAACCACATGTTGAAGGCTGAGATGGAGAGATAATCTTAAAAAACAAAACAAAACAAAAAAAAACATGCTTGTTTGTCCTTACTCAAAAAACACTTAGTTGATGCAATAAATGTCTCTCAGCACAGCCAGTGGTCTGACAGTGCACTGCCTCCTGCTGTCACGGGCTGACATGAGCGAGCAGGTCGTGGGGTTGTGGTCTGTTTTCATCCAGATAACCACTCTGTGAAACTCACCTGTGACACTGGCTAATTTTGTTCAAGGCATCATTTAGAATTCAACAACAAATTACTGGTTTAGATGAACCAAATAACACCCACAAAACTGCTTCTTTGCTGAGTTTAGCTACGCAAATTTAGTTTTAGGAAAAGATAAACTCTTTAAAGGTAACTCTAGATCAAAACCTCTCAGGAAGCTTTGATAATTTTAACAGGTTTCTGCCTCACGTTTGTTTAAAGATGTGTTGTTTTCTCGAATTGTGCGAGTTAAAAAAAATAAAAACGGTCAAACGCCGTGTGACACAGCACAACACTTGACAGGAAATTAATGATAAAAATCTTATCCAAGCTGTTCAGTACATTTGAAGGACCTGTCTTAATGTTTTAGTTATTAAAATGGAACGGCGTTTGAGATTATAACAACCGTCCAAGAACTATTTATATAAAGTCAGTTGTTATTACAGGATTAATGAATCTTAATATATGGAAAAAAAAAACAACATTACACTATGTATATAAAGTATATGGCCTTAGTTAATACCCTTAGTTGTGAACTGTTACTATTTGTCCCAGAAATACAACTGTACATGGTTCGATTATATTTGAAAGAATAAAACAGAAAAAATAGACAGATGAACACAAAGGGTTTTCAGAGACTTTTTAAACCCGCGTGGGTTCGTTTTCCGGGCTGCATGATAAGGAGCGACGGCTAACGTTGCATGACAGACCGGACAGATGGGAAAAAGGTGTGTGAGCGTCTTTAAGGAAACATCTTGTGCTGCTTGAACCGTTGTTGTCCTGCTCACTTGGGCAGCTGCAATAACAGCTCCATTACATTTCATCCAGCGTCAACAGCGAGTCCTTTCTCAAGCCCTCGGAGTCCCAAGAACATGATTGTATTCTGTGTGGGTGATGTGAATTGGACTCATATGTTTTCAGGTTCTGCTGCAACAACACGTTTCTCCAGTTCAGAGAGAGTACTGCACATAAATCAACAAATATCACATGGACTTCCAGGGAATCGGAGGAATTGTTTTACAGTTATTGGTTCGATATAAAAAACGTTATGTGAAGTTTCAGTTAGGACAGTTACGATGATACATTGGGAGAACAGGACGGAACATGAAGATGAAAATCTGTCACAGTAATGGCATCGTCCCAGTAAGAAGAATCCGATTATTCCCGTCATAGGTCTGGAACACTGACATTTGGGAAAATCAAATAAAAGAGACATCCTTTTTTTTAATCCAATAATGTGAAAAATGATGTCAGTCTGGCACTTTTTAATCTTCCTCTATTTTCTTTGGGTTCACAGACAAGAATTAAAAAACATCGTCCTCCACCTGTTTAAACACTGGACATTCACAGGCAGTGAGCCAGACGTCATTATGACAATTGTTTGCAGCTTTTCGGAAAAAGAAAATGCAGCATCAGGAAAACATCTGGACTGAAAATGAACTTTAAAAAAACAAAACATTAATGTGAGATGTAATACGTCTCTGGTTCAGACAGACTCTGACCAGGCTGCCGTGATGGGTCAACCCCGACACATGGTTCTACTGGCCACATTCCTTATGTTGCTGAGCTTGTCGGCCGCCATGTTGGAAACAAAGCAGCAGTGCTTTTCCACAAACAGGCATATGGAACGTGTTTACGTCGCTAACGGTCAGAGTTAACGGGAAGAGAGGGAAAGAATGGCAGGGAAACACCACATCCTGACAAAAGCCAGACTGGATAATGATTTGCTCCTGAAAGTCTGCGTGCCGACCCAATTGTGACGATTTATTATAAACAAGGAAGAGTCCATTTGTGGTGGCTAAGGTTTGTAGCTCCGGGCGCAGTGTCCATCTGAGTGCAAGCGGTGTGGGCTGTTATTTCCTGGGCTGGAGATCAGGAAGGAGTTTGGATTGGTTACCTCCACATCACTGCAGGTCTCCAGAGCACGTACCAAAGGCAGAATAGAACCATTTATTCCAGATAATATATCTGTGTAGATGAATTGTTCTCCTTATCTGCCTGCTGCGTTCACGCCGTCGTTCTTATCTCGTATATAAAGTGAGTGCAATAAAAATGTTTGTGTAAGTTTTATATCTTTGTGAATGTGCCGTGAATACACGTGTGTGCTTTCTTTGGCGACAGGGCATCTGGCAGCTGGAGCGGAGTTCACTGTAAACCTCTGCCTAGAATTATTTATGGTGTGACAATGGAAAGTGCAGTAATGATGAAAAAGCTAACTAATACGATAAGGAAACTAAACAGAACTCCATTAAAATAAAGCAATCAGCACAGACATTCCTACAGTAGTTGTTCACAAACGTTTTAGCGCCTCTTTGGTCAATGGGACTGGCAATGGCAATGGTTTCTCAGCTACGATACTAACTAATAAAAATATTAAATTTGAAATTCAGTAATTTTGTTGTCTTTCAAACGACAATTCTCAATTTATAAATGATGTATTTGATTATATTCATAAAAAAAGAAATAAATGAGAAAAAATAAAACAAATACAGACTTCTCACTGCTAAAATGTATCTTTCAAAAAATCCTTTCAAAATGTATTAAATGTATGTATTAAATATGTATAATAAAGTTTGGGAATAAAACCACTGGCATACAGAATCACTGCTGTATCATTTTTTTTAAAATTGTAATTCAACAGGAATATTTAACCTAAGGCAGCTGCATCATTTTTTTTTTTAATTGTTTTTTAAAATTCAACAGGAATATTTAACCTAAGGCTAATGGGAGCGCGGCCGTCTCTGTTTGTAATACTGGGTTTAAATTAATACCAGCCCATTCATGTTCCGGGGTTCACTGATATTACACTGCACAGCTCTGTCATGACTCATCTCTAATCCTCAACTTCTTGGAAGTCCAGCGACCGCGTCCTAGAAGTGGTTCGTTCTCCATATGGTCATGGAAACAGAACATAATTCCAACAAAAGAACCAACTTAAAACTAACGTTCTCAGAATAACCAGAGTTTTCCTGAGCGTACCAAACATTTGAATACGCGTTTCGGCGGCGGGAGACACAGCGATGATAAACTTAAAGTTATCAATTCACATAAATAAAATGTCACTGTTTCTGGTGCGTGTTCCAATCCGAGGTATGGGCCCAGTCTTTGATCACTTCTGTGTGGTCGTGCTCGCTGGTGGAGCACAAATTGATTTTTTTGTGGTTGAAAAAAAAAAAGAAAATTGTAGACAGAAAAAAATGCAACTCTTTGGAAAAATCATAGCATTTAATGATGAACATCTGGAAATCCCCTCTCACAGAGGAGCAGTTAGGGTGGGAGAAAAAAAACATGCCAACTCTAATTGTGTACTTGGAGCTGCATGATAGACAGGCCTTCTGGTGTTGCAGTCATTATTGCATTAAGAAGCAGTCTGGGTCTGAGGGACTGACCACAGCGTTGTCTTACAGGCAGTCGCAGCAGTCGTACCTCACACCTCTCTCTACCTACACTTCACAATTCACATTCAAGTGCAGCGACTGGTCTGAATTGAAATAAACCTGGAAACTGAAATGATGAATCGGAATTGTTTTTCCAGATATGGAATGGAGCAATTTCCGTGATGGCGCTGTCTGTTTTACTGAGTACGACAGACGATAATCAGACACACGATGTTACTTCTGCCCCGACAGGAGGCTGTTATTACGTATCCCTGAGTGATCAAGAACAGAGTGCACCTACTCAGAGACGACTTGCACACAAGTGCAAATTTGAATTTTGAATATTCAACTACCTCAAGAAGCCATTTTGCATCTGATTACAGTCACCTTTTGGGCGATGTTTCGACTAACGAGGCAGAACAATGTTGTCCTCTTGTTATAAAGAGACCCCCTCTCCCCCCACAGTTGCCAAATGCTTGCATTGAGTATTAGTATTAGTCCTGTTCCTATTGTTCAATGTAACTAGATTTTCGAAATCACATACAGTACATCAATACCTATGTCCTCACCTATGCTAACATAGCGGTAACATCACAATCTACGACAGAAAAAAAAATCAGAAGAGTCTGACTTACGCCTGGCAGCCAAAACAAAGGGCATAAAGTTCCAAAAAAAAAAAGAATGTAAACAACGCTGTCTTCCACATATAGCCTCATGTGACATCACAGTCTTCCACTCCGGTCGCCAACTAGTTGGGATGAAACTAGTTTTTCTTAATAAACTTATGGGAAATCACAACATCACGTCATAGGTCGAGGCCGTCGTAAACCATCTGTATTCCTTACATGTTTTTGTCATTTTCCTTCAATCAGCCAACACCAATATGTCAGTGAATATTTTTCCACCTTCTTTTCGATCTTTCATTGACTGTGACATGTGTCTAAAACGGAGCTATTTGCGTTAAGAGTTTGACAGGATATTTCTTGAGTCCTACTAATCAGTGTCAACACATACAGTAACACGGGAGTATGTGTCTCCCTCCTAACAAATTCTGCCGTTATGAACCCGTGTTCGCGACTGAAACAACACCAGAGAGGGGCTAATAAAACAGGACTCCTGTATCTCCTCTTACTCATGGAGGTGAGCTCAGCAGTGTCAACAGTCACAAGCAATCAGGAGCTCAGAGGTGAGCGAGTGAGACGATGGAGTTCTGAACAAACAGTTAAAGTCTCAGTCTGACGGCAAAAAAAGAAAGAAAAAGAAAGAAAGAAAAAGGAAGAGAGAGATTGAGAAAACAGTGGAGTGAGATGTTTTCGCTTTTCAGCCATCAGTAAAACCAACACTAAAGCAAATCCAGGGCAAACAAAAATAAAGAGGACGGTTTGGGAAAATACTGTTGTGTCAGAAAGGAGCTATTAACAGTGGCTACATGTTAACACTAAAGAAATATTTTTATATAAAAAAAGGAAAAATGTAATAAAGTATTTCCTCCTTTACTCCCAATTTAAAACTTAAAAAAAAATAAACTCAAATAAAAATGAACCTGCGCTGTCACCCCCTCTTTCTTTTAATTCCTGATGAGATACCTGCCATCAAATTATGCCTCTCTTTTGTCACTTTCACGCAGTTGAGGAGTCCTGAATGGCATGGACCGTCGCAGGTAATTAGCAATTAATTTACAAGGACGGCTCAGAAAGAATTTGTTTTCAGTGAGGGGATTCATACAAGGCCGGTTTAGATTTGAAATTGTCCACAGAAATTATTTGGTGGCACTTGTATTGGTATTTGATGTTTACAAACCGTAGAATTTGGACCGCAGTGAGAAAGAGTCTCAGGTCAGAAGAGCAGGAAAATGTCCACTGCACCGTCTCTTATTAGATCGGAAGTCTTCGGCTATCACGTTATGTAGTGGTGCATTTAGTACTGCGTGCTGGACACTCACCCAAGACTGGTCGAAACTGTAAGTGTGCCGATGGTCTTCCAGGTCGTCGTCCTGCTTAGCGTGCTGGAACTCGTGCCTCAGCCTTTGTATCCGGTCGTGGTTACTGGGAGTCATCGGACTGAAGGGAAGGAGGAAGACACAAGGTGAGACTAGTTTTTTAAAATCTATAAAAGTCCACATGTTTTTTAACAAACCCTGACCATGAAAAACACCTGGTTTTACACAGTCTGCGATGCCTGCGTAGCTTCGCGATGAAGACGCTAAATTGTGCGAGGCTTTCATCTGACAGTCGACAATTTCTTTTTGCATACCTGACTGACAACTCTATGAGCCTGTGCGTCTTACACTCCCTTATTCAAGTCAACTGCACTAACTTTCCTTAAAAGCAGCGTTAGTGTATCCCGATCGGACTGGAAGAGAGTGGTGTCCTTTCATGGTGCTCGGTTATTAAACATTGTGACATCCCCTTCATTAAAGGGCTTTGAAAAGCCTGTCAATAGGAATCAATGGCTTTCCTCCAGCCTAATCAGGCTCCCCTTTTATCAGCAGCTACAGAGGCAGCACATGACAAAATGCATGATTTTGATGAGACAACCAGTGTGATAATGGGCCTCCATTTATGCATACCACATGGAGACAAGTGACCAAAGGTTAGGAATTTACACCGCGGAGGACGATGGGAGCTCTGGGATGTTGGGAGTGGGGTAGAAGGAAAGGCAGATAAAGGGAGGAGGGCTGTTCTCCTGTATGTTGTTGAGTGGGAAAAAAGGGAAAGGTTAATCAAGAGCATGTGAGACACGGAGGAAAAACAAAGAACCGGGATAAAGGAAGTTACCGGCAGGACACTGTCCAGACAATTGTGAGGCAAACCAAATCAGACGGTGCTAAGAAGAAAGAACCCTAAAATGGCTCAACAGAATACTTGTCACTCAGTCATTGTGTGTGTGCCCTCTGAAGTAGCACTTACAGGTGGCATGCCACCAGCGGAGTGATTGCTTATTTGGACCCGATGGATCCCGGGCACAATTATGGCGATAATTGCAGATCGGATTAGAACGAGCACATCCTGCTGATGATAATGGGCGACGGGACACACTGCCAATCAAGCTTCATTAAAAGCACAATAAATAGCGGCTCATAAAAGGAAGCAGCGATCTCAGTGTGAGCCCCTAAGTAGCACTTGGTGAAACGCAGTCATCACGTTCTCCGTATTGCCTGGTCAAAATCAATTGTATTAGTTATACTCCATTTGACTCCTATAGCTGTATGTGTGTGGGAGTGCAGGGAGCATACATTAGGCCTTTTATGTTGATGTGGGTAATTAAGTGGCTCGCTGAAGTGTGAGGTGGCTTATGCTTTGAGGCTTTCAGGTGACAGAAGGTCTTCCTAACACTGTTTGTATTAACGTCTGTGTTCCTTCATATTTTCTGCGAAACTGTCGAAATAACCAGTAGCTATGTTCGTGTAATTAGGTCAACCTACTAAAAGTTCTGTGCAAATGGGGTATGTCAGCATCAGCCTTGCCGGCAAATGCCAACCAAACAACAACACTGAGCCCCGGTTACTACACTTACTAAAATGTCTACTTTATTCAGTGCAATAATGTACATTTTCTTCAACCCCCTCAGGGAGGGTCACTACTAGCACAGGCATTCCAAACATGCGTCTCAATTGAACAGATGAAGGAGAAGAAGTCGCTGAGGTTTTGAACCAAGGCGGACCACCCAGGTCGTAAACAAGACTCCTTGAGTCCATATACACCCAGTACATAAAAAAGCCCTATCTCACACACCAATGCATCAAAGGAGAGGGGTGGCCTGAACATTAACAGGACCGTGTACAGTGCGTGTTGATAAAGTGGCGGGGCGTGGATAGAGAGTAGATGAGCAGAGACAAGATCGCTAGAAATTAAATAAATTACAGCTTGCCTTCATTATTACTTTTTAAATGAGAAATTGAAATTGCAGCGAGTGCGAGATGGGAACGGGGGTGAGATTTAACTAGGGCTCCATTCGTCACGGCAGTTCAAAGCAGGCTTGTGCTATATCGAGATTATCTGTAGGGGCTCCGTCTCGCAAACTTTCATCCTCCTGGGGGGTAGCACGCTGGGAGAATCTTTCAAAAGTACTCAGAGGAGTTCTCCGGCAAGAAAAAAAAAAAGCGAGCTGGACGTTCAAATACTGGAGTGGCCGCAGTAACTTCATTATCACACCAACGTTTAACAGAAGATCAGCGTTCACTCAAAAAAAGATGGATTCTGTTACCCCTTCCCTGAGAGCTCCCCCATGCTTAAGCACGTCAACGCATAATTAGTCAAGATAATCGTTGCCGATACATCAGGTGTCACTGCTTACAAATTACCCTGAATAAATCAGTGCCTGCAATGAGCCTGAAGAACAAGAGATTTGAGAGAGGAAGAAACAAAGTGGTGAAAACAGTGGTAGCAATTTTAGTTTTAGGATCAACTCAGTGGTTTGGATTAATGTGTTGTTGTGTACATGGCTGTGAGGGAACATCGATGAGCAACGCTCATCAGTCTGAAATGACCGTGTTATTTTGTCTGCAGGAAACTGTCTGCATCATGCAGCACGACCTCATGAGACTCAGGCTACGGCACTGACTTTTTCACGACGACTAATCTGACAATAACATTGAAGCCGAGTCGGAAAGTAGCTTTTGCTAATGGGGGGAACACAGCAGTCAGTTGTTCTATCGGCCCCCAGTGAGCTGCTCACATCTCAAGTCACTTTCTTAACTCTTGATTTTGTGACAATTTCAGACTGCACAGTGATCCTTTATGCTTTACCTTCTAAGTGCTTTGAGTTTTCTTGTGTAAATGCTCCATTCTGGCAGAGGTCCTCGACTTTTGCCACTCATGTTGATGAGTCTCTTTAATTGAAGTGTAAGCCATAGGCAAAGGGATCAGGATCCTATTTATGTCAGCACACGGCCTCTGAGGTTAGCAGGTCTGATCCCACGTGCAGGCGAACGTGCCACACAACAAAGAGTAAAACGAACCATCTTGCAAAGAGACACAAACCAACGCTATCTTACTCCCCCTCATCGTCACTTTGAAAATGCCTGTTCTTAGTCAAGCTGATGCGGCGGCGGCTGAATTCACAGAGAAGCTGAAAGCTTTTTCTGACAGATCACTTCAGGAGGTGAACCTGTGACTTCGCATGCATGCAGAGTTGAGTCAAACAACAGTGATTTAGGCCTGAGTGAACAACAACAGGCCCTCCACAGAGCTACTTCCTCTCCTGCTGCTCTGAACCTCCCGCATTTTATTCAGAAAGAATTAAATCGTAGGTAGAAAAATGAAACGCAATGCGACAAAAAAACAACTTTGAATTTCAGACTTTCATCTTGCTGTGTCTCCGTCTGTAGCAACAACCTTTTCAAGGCCTTGGTTGTTTTGTACCAGTTGAATGCATTCATACCAGAGCTGTTGATCAGGGGTCTCAACCCCCGGTCTGGGTACCGATGCTGGTCCGTAGGTCATTTGGTACCGGTAAAAAAATCCAGTCATATCCCCTTAAGTTTTTCAATAAAAGATAATTGGAAATGTTTCAAAACAACAGGTCATTCAAGCTCTGATACTAACAGAAGAAAGTAAAAGATTCAATAAAGGCGCAGTATTAACAGTCCGCAGAAACGGCTGATACTTGGGGACCGCTGCTGTAGATGACACTTGTGTTTTCCAACATGACCTGTTGACAGAGGTCATGAGCCCTTTTAAGCAGCAGTTGGAACAGATGAACGCCAGTCTGTGTAATAGTCATCTTTTGATCCAGGGGGATTTGGCAGATGTCTCACGCACCACAAGTCTTTAACCAAGGATGCTAACTATGCAGCAGCCGTTTCTACATGTCCGTTGGTGAATCCAAGCTGTGCCGAATCCTCTATGTCCTGTTAACACTGCCTCGTCCTAATAAAAGTGTAATCCAATCACTGTGAGTACAGCGTGGGTCAAATGAGCTCAGCTCGTTGCCCAGCAAAGAGACAAATAAACCTGATGGATAGTAGTGTTGAAAATAAAGTTTCTAAAAATATGGAGAAAAAAAAAATCTTAGTGGGTGAGCACGACTTCAAATCAGTGGCTGCGTCCTATCTGATAACTGTTGATTGAAATTCTATCAGATTATCAAGCTCCTCGCTGCCGCCCCAGTATCTCCGTGCCGCAGATGAGGGGACGGGGCTTCTTAAGTTTGGGCCTTTTGGCAATCCCGCACTCAGTCAAAGGCTTGGCTAATCTGAATTCAGTTCCCCCCGCAGACTTTCATTTATTTCAAAGACACAGAGATGAGGGATTTTTTCTTTTTTTTTTCAGGGAGATGGACAGCCTTTGGGACCAACTGATGATTGAAAAAGATTAGATATGCATTACCCACAGCCATTTTTGAGCAGGAGAGGGAGGAAGATAAAACATTCTTTATCTAGTCTTCAGAGGAGATCAGCAAATATCAATATATCAAATGTGATTTTTTTTGGTGACAATCAAATGAAAAATATTGAGGCGTACGTCTTACTGTTCCTCCAACATTTATTTTCCCCTCAACTGTACTATCTTCGTCATGTCAAAAAAAAAACTATCTTGCATTTTTGCTCAACTCTATTTTTTTTTCTTTTTCTCTTTTTATTTCCATATGATTTGTCTCTGAATGCCTTATCCTCCTCTGGGGTTACAGTCCTAAACTCCTCATGCTCCCTCTCCAGCTCACTAAGTGACAGCTGTGTGCTGGACGGAGGCCTGATAATACCCTGGATTTGTCAGGCTCTGGCTACACCCATGTCCTCCTGTAGCTGATGCTACAGCGTTGGCTCCTGGCCAGCTACAATCCTAATTTCTAGGGATGACGGTTTTAGCACTTGTTGTTCTTTCAACATGTGCATGTCCATCCATGACTTTTCTCAGTTGCCATATGCTGCCTTTGGGGGTCCTCAATGACGCCTCCTACAGTACGTCATGTTGGTGTCGTGACTGGGGAACAGGGACCGATGATTATCCCGACAAAGAAATGCTGAGTGGAGTGCTGCTCCTTTTCACAGACCTTCCAACTCCTCCGGCCCCCAGTGAACTGTTCTTCCCTGGTGTGAAATGAAGATACAGCTCTGCCC